AGAGGATCGCAAGTTGGTGAATTGTTTTCCTTTTCAATTAAGTGAATGAGGTTGTCAGGGCGGTTCCCGCGTAGTAGATTTACTTTATCCCATAGAACTTTTGATGGAGTGTTGCAATTTATATCCTCAGTGAAGGTCGCAAAAGCATCTCTTTTTGAGGTTTTTACTTCGCCCTTATATATAGCATTCGCTCTTTTGTATTTTAGTATATTAACAGCGGTAGGGTGTTGCTTGACCAGTTTCCACAGATCTTGTTTTGTTTTCCTTAGTGTAGTTAAATTATCATTCCACTATTATGTTGTGGGTTATCTTTTATTTGGGGTTGACATTGGAATCCTTTTGTATGCACTTTGCTTAATTTTTTTAGTGAAGATAGCAACGGCTTTATAGGGATTTATCTAGTTGAAACTAATATTTTCCATTTCGCTGGTTAGAAGTGTTTGATACTAGTCCCACTTTGCATCTTTTAATTTGAATCTTTTGGGAGTTTGGTAAGTTGTGTTAGGGGTCGTGTTGAACAATGTTAAGCTAATCGGGAAGTAGTCGCTACCGCATAGTTCATCGTTAACTTTCCAATTTGATGTAATATTAAGAGGAGATGTACACATGGTGATATCAATGTGGGTTAGTGTGCAGTGCGTAGACCAGTGGGTTGGACTTTTATCGTTTAAAACTAAAAGGTTTGTATTTTCAATAAATTTAGTGACAATTTTACCCTTACTGTTGAATCGTGAAGATCCCCATATTGGGCTCCAAGCATTCAGATCACCAATTAGTAATGGCCCATTCACGTATGAAATGAGTTCGTGCAAGTCGTGCTCAGCAAATTGCTCATCAGGTGGTGAATAAATATTTAAAAAGGGGAAATTTATCTGGAACTTAACTTTGATTGCTATTGCGAGTAAACATTATATATGGTTCAACTTTTACTTTCAGCCATCCTATGTTCACTTCTTTTGGTGGAGTAAAAGTGTTGAAAGAGACGATGTAAAGCGGAGTGTCAGTGAGTTTTCCTTCTACGTATTTTCTGATTTTTTTACATTCCACTGCACCTTGTTCTTTTAGACCTTCAACGATTTCTTTTTCACTTAGATGTTTTAAAACTCCAGAATAAACTACACCTTTGGATATATTAAGCGTTGGGTGGAGAGAGACAGAAATGATGCAAATATTTGACAATTCTGTTGCTTTAAGGTATTTGTTAGCTTGTAGTTGAGTTTTTGTTAGTAAAAGTAGGTCTCCATCTCTAGTAAATGATATTTCAGGGGCTTTTCGGTTGTGATTGATTCGAGCGCTTTGCTGACTGCGAAAATGTTATACATTTCAGTGGTTTTTCGGTTTTGCTTTTTATAAGTAGAAACTTTGGGCATGGTGAGTTTTGTTGAGTACTTGCATGTTTGTTGACTTTAAGCGTTGGGAAGTCATAGTTGTTGTTTATACTGTATGCCTTACGTTTTGTTTTTGGTGGCTCGCCTAGTATGGCGAAGTAGTTACTTCTGCCCTTTTCGGGGTCTTCCTTCATGGCAGTTTGCTGATCCTTCTTTTGTCTGGGTAATTTCGTTGTACTAACGTGACCGCAGTCTTCAGTTATCTCGTGGGAACTGATTTCACAAAGTTATGAACTTCTAAAAAAAAAAAATTTTTTTACAAGCTTGAGAAAAAATAATGCTAACGTTTTCAATGCTTGCTATCTCGATAAATTATGATTTTTAACAATAATCCTATTCTATTTTATATACAAAACAATTAAAAGTAATAAAATAAAATTAACACATTTGTTTTTCAAACACTTACTAGATTTTATAGAATTTTAAAAAATGTCTCCGCTACACATTTTATCAATTGGTTGACATAAAGGATTTTTTTTACTTAATACTTAATATGACCCCCTTTTGCTTTGATTACTGCCTCAATTCCTTTGTGCATGGACTCGACCACCTTTCTACAGAAATCTCCGCTAATATTTTGGCAAGAATTTTAAGCCTTCTACCATAATGGACATCAGAAATCGCACGCTTGGCCTCAACCCAAGCATGTTCGATTGGGTTGAGGGCTGGCGATTGAGGGGGCCAGTCTAGTACTTCAAAACCGTTGTTTTGAAACCAAGCTTCAGCTACACGAGAACTGTGTTTCGAGTCATTATCTTGCTGGAAGATGACACATTCTTGCCCCACACTTCCACACTCTTGTACAAACCTTTTTGAAGGATATCGACATATTGATTGGCATCCATTCGTTCGGAAACTCTTACGTACTCTCCTACCCCCTCCATCCTCATACACCTCCACATTACATTACCGCCTCCAAACTTGACCGTTGGTTGAACAATATGGATAGTCAAAGGTTCTCGGGGTTTCCTCCAAATTCTTTGACGCCCATCTTTCCCAGATAGTTTATTTTTGTGTCTTCGGACCATATGACTCGCATCCAATCATTTTTGGTGTAGGTTTCATATTTTTTTGCAAATTGTAGTCTCAATTTACGGTGTCGTTTTGTCAATAGTGGTCCACGGCACGTCCGTGGAATCCGTTTTTCCGCAATTTCTTCTTTATAGTTTCACTTGTTACATTTACTCCATCCCTATGGGAGAGATCACGTCTGATTTGGCCCGCATTCTGCACACCAAACTTTATCTGCCTAACAATGCGCCTTTGTAGGGTGGCATTCAAATTACCTTTCGTCCAGGAGTGTTTTTTACACATAAAGAGATTGTCTTATTTTTGAAATAACGCCTACAGAAACACCAACGATTCTTGCAATTTCTCTATGCGTTGTGTTTAAATGAATAAGCTTTTTGATTTCATCCATTTTTATTGCACTTAGTTTTTTCATCTATAGTCAAGCCAAACTTAAGAAAATAACAAAGAAAAACAATAAAAAAAAAAAACTCACCTTTTACTAAAAACAAGAATATAACGATTTCACAACTATTATTTAAAGAATAAAAAGAAATACTTGAATCTCAGAGCAATATTACGGTGATCAGTACCCCTTTACTTCACAAAGTCAACTAATTGATTACATGCCTTTGTCTACATTTGTAAATATTCTCTGAAAGGTAACGGCACATTTTGGGTAATTCGGACTTACTAACTGTTCTTGCATAGGCCGACTTAGTGAACTTATCCCTTTTATTCAAAAGTTTGTTTAAATAAAAGAGAACAAAATAGAATGTTTTTGGAAATGTATGTAATGAAATAGTTGACATACTGTATGTACGTTCTCTGTCTCTGGTTTCAATGGTTTAACGTCATAACTTAAGTGCTGAACACATATGTATGTATGTAGAGCACGACAGACTGCAAGCGACATCTCTCAAATATTAAAATACACACGTTCTTATGGACACTGTTATGTAGACAGCTGCACGACTACACGTTAACAGGTTTTCAGTCGCTCTCGTTGAAAGTCGAGTAGGCTGTTACTCTCTCATTTCCAAGTGAGAGGAGAGTTGGGCATCTCTTTTTCTTTTGACATTTTACCATTGGAATGACTGGAACGGCCAGATTGAAATTATACTAAAAATATACATATGAGAATGGCGGGATTTGTTGCTCGCTAATAAAAAATGTAAAAGAATGAAAAGTAAAGATAATGGGAAATTTAAATATATTTCACGAAACATTTTGCAATTTAATTCATAGTAGTATTAGTTTTCAGTTACCAATGATTAAAAACATTTATTAATTGAGAACTAAGAGGCTTAATTCACCTTCTTAAGTATTGAAAGATCCATAGTCAATTGTTTTAATATACCATAAAATAATTAAAAAAAAAAACTATGTAAATAGTTTCGTTATATTTTAAAAGTCCAATGGGTAATAATTTTCAATCGTAATAAATGTTGGGTGTTTTACTTTACATTCCCAAAAATCACTATTTGGGCATCCCAAATCTTATCTTGTTCTTATTTTTGTATATGAACGCTTAGATTTATGAATGAAGTATTCCTTGTAGTAATATAGAATAGAATGCATATTGAGGAACATTTGACATACATACATATGTATGTATGTACATTAGGGTGAATAAAAAAAAAAATTTTTTTTTACAAAATCAAAGGAACAAAATATTATTTGAAGTGGTTGCAAGCGAAATATAAATTTTTCTATCTGATAATAAAAAAAAAAAATAGAAAACTGTAAGTATTAGGAGCTTCCCGTTACAATTAAAAACTCATTTTTGGAGAGGCTTCCTTAGAGGTGTCTAGGAACCTATTTTTCAGAGTACTAAACAAAAAAAAACCTTTTTTTGAATCACCCTAATGTACATATATGTATAATACCTACAACTGTAAAAACAGACCGTGCCAAATTCGGGCACTTATACATGTAGATACTTACATATGTAATTCTATTTTTGACTGCTATGCCTAAACGAAATGAACACCATATCATAAAATTAAAGGCAAATAAATTTATTTTAAAAAAATTATGTATTAACTAAAATAACAAGACCTCATATCGTCACCTTAAAAAAATCGAAATTGAGTATCTTATTGATTAAGATTCAGTATTTCAAATTCCTTCATAATATGACATTTGTCATTTTCAGGTTCTGCGGTCAAATATAAAACAGTTTTATATAATATTAACATTTTTTCACTCTTGTTCCATTTTATTTCGTCTTTCATTCGTGCCACTGTAAATTTTCAAAAATATTGTTGGGTTATTTTGCACGATATGTGACGATATATGTATTTCTTAACGTAAATAAAAACGTATATAGAAAAATAGAAGACACTGGAATTGGACTAAATTAATTTATATAAATAATTTGCTTTTTAAATTATGAAAATTAGAAAAATATTTTTTAGTTGCACACAACTTGCGAATTTTCTTTCTTATCAACTAAAAATGCCCACATGCATTTTTTCTATTACGTTAGTTTTTTTTTTTTAATAGCCACATCATGTGCAAAAAAACTGCATTACAATTAAAATTAATTCTACTTAAATATATTTTAAATACATAAAAAACTACATAGTAACTTCTAAACGAAACTCAATTCTTTGTTGTGTTTGCAACAAATATTTGTCCTTGAAAAAAATGTGGTTCACAGATTTATTAATTTACAGTTAAACGAACTTACTGCATTTTTATTCATATTTGCCATCAATTCCATTTATATAATTGTGAATTTTCAACAATTTCCTGAAGTAAGGTACAAATTTTCTTGGACTCAGCTACTTCTTCTGTTTTACCGTGATTTTCATTCTCTCTAAATCCGACAACTTCTTCATTGTAAAAGCATCTGACTTAAGATACTTTACTTATTATATATAATACTAACACTTCTCAGAGTAGTGATATTCGAAGGTTTAATGCCAGATTTATTTTCGGTGGGTGTCATTGATTCCTCGCTTATTAAATATTCCACAACAAATTTGTGATAATTTCACTAGACACCTGTAGGCTGCTGCGGCTGCCGAAGACCTCATCTAACTTTTTAAAAATACGCCAATTTGTCGGATCCCGTTATAAGGGAATTTTGTTTCCAATTCCTTAATGTCACGTAATAAATTCGCTCAACTTATCTTTCTCTTAATTTTTTTTTGCACTAAACTCTGCTTTCATAAAAATAGTATTTCTTTCGTGGTTCCACTTTTTATCACTATAAATATAAATAAATTGTAAATACATGACATAGATAATTACTTGCATAAAAACATGACTTACATACGTGTCCGTTATTTCTACCGTTAAAAAATCAAAGCATAACAAATTAAACAACTGTTACGCTAGAAAAAAAAAACGTATTTTTGCAAACTGTATTTATGAAGGCAGCCCATCTAAATGTGGAAGAAAAATTAATAAAATATTAAATAAACATTAATAATGTTTATGTATTATTTATCACTTACACAAAAACGCGCCTTTAACTTATTGGCATTAATCCAAAATAAGTACTACATAATCCCGTTGCTTTTTATTAAATTTTTTAATTTACTATTCTAAAGTAGGCAAATGTTTTCTTACAGCTTTTCTTCAACCAACCATTTCGCGTTTTTAAATAGAGTACTATTATTAAAGATTTTAACAGGGGTTGCTGATAGTTTAGACATTAAACAGCTTCTAAAAACCATTCAAACCATTCCGGTGAAGTAATTTTAGTCCTATTTCTATCCGCATCACCCAAGGTTTCTATTGTTAAATTGATCATTGTTGTTATGATTATGATAAATATTGCAATCGATTAAGTCGTTGATGTGCTTCACAAACATTTACATACATATGTATGTCACTTTTGCGCATTTCAATAGTACGTAGTAATCCCTGCCTTAATTCCCGGTCGAAGCCATCTGGAACGGACCCTTTTTTTCAATGCTTGGGATATACATATGTACATACATACATATGTGGGTTTCACATTGTGGGAGCATGTCAACTATGGACATATTTTACAATTATAACTCCCACCATCGATTGGATGTAGCTTCTAAACCATCGATAATTTTAAAGTCTTACTTTAAGAAATTTTTCCTAACCGACTTAATCAAATGGCAATGAATATAGAAATGGCAATAATCATTCAGAAATACATAGAAAAACTGGATTTGTCAGCTCCAAATTTATTTTTTAATTTAAATTGTTTGTTGTTGTTATTGTAGCGGCAGAATTCTGCCGAATTGACAGTCCTTGGCCGGATAAAAATCCGGGATCGTTCCGGTTACGCAGACCCGACAGTCCTGACTTACAATTTCGTCGATTAGTATGGCACAGATGTGTTCCTGCTTGAAGATTTCCTAGAAATTCTAATCTTCAGTTTATGTACTTTATTAATTGATACCCTTCAACCAAGATATGTTACATTCTCATCAGCAATTTTTGGATGCAATAATTGTCCAATTCCCTAACTCAAATAATTCTTGTTTTAAAATCTTTCTCTCCTGCCTGAGCGCATTTATGCCTTGATTTTGCTTATTTGCACTTTGTTCACAAGCTCACGCAATTCATGCGCAAGATTCTTGGACACATTTTGAGGAATCAAGGTTGGAGAAAACATTGTATTGTTAACGTTTCACCTCGAGATCCGAATATAACTTGAAGTCCTCCAAACTGATATATTCCCCTATCCTTTCTGATGTGTGTATGACTACTGACGTTTAGAAGGGTGCAGGACTCTATTTGAAGAAAAGCTGCTACAATTACCTACTGTTTCATAAAATAAATTATGCTTCGGGATAGCTCCTTCCTTGAGTTTCTTATTTATAATGGAGTCCACATCAAAATGACGGTCACAAATAAATAACTTTCTTCGGTCGGAGTATGATGTACTTATTTTTAATGCTAAAACCCAGTTATCGAAGTCAATCTCATCATCGGGGAATGCAAATAGTATGTCTTTTTCATCCGATGGACATCCCTTAGCACAGCAGGTCCGTACTTCATTACTCTTCTTTATTGACAAGTAAACAGCATCATCGGATTTTCCTATTATTATGTGGTATATAAATAATATATTTATATCTATGTATTTATTAAACATTATTTATCTGAATATAAACAAAACAAGAAAAACGCTAACTGCGGTTGCACCAAAGCTAATATACCCTTCATAGGTGCAGTTCTTTTAGTAACTATGTGTTCAGTTTATATGGAAGCTATATGCTATAGTAATCCTATCCTACCAAATTTCGTGAATATATCTTGTCAAATGCAAAAGTTTTCCATACAAGAACTTTCTTCAAGAACTTGATTCCGATCGTTCAGCTTGTATGGCAGCTATATGTTATAGTGGTCCAATGTCGGCAGCTCCGACAAATGAGCAGCTTCTTGAAGAGAAAATGACATTTGCAAAATTTCAAAACCGACTCAGCTCAATATACTGATCATTTATATATTCATATGTATACTTTATAGGGTCTCCGACGCTTCCTTCTGGGTGTTACAAACTTCGTGACAAACTTAATATACCCTGTTCAGGGTACAAAAATCTCACATGAAATATATATCGCCAACATTAAAGAAATGGCATGTGTGTCTACATAAATATATTATATATACACATACATATAAATGAATAGTATGTGCACATATATTGACCCTGGCAATATTACCCAACATTTATGTATATTTTAATATGTATGTTACGATGAATAGTTATTTACCGAGTTTTAGAGTAGGAACAGCTCCAATTTTCAACCTCTTAGCCCCTAGTGCATAATCCTCAAAATGCATTGCACAAACAAACGTGTTTGTGGTAGCTATTTTCCTTCCCTCAAAGCCTAGATTTCGGCACCACTTTCTTGCGATTTTTTCATTTTTCGGCCAAACAAACAAATTGCACTTTTTGTTATCGTTATTACACTCGCGCACACAACATTTTCGAATTCGTGGCATTTTTAAATTTTTTCAAATTTAAAAAATTTTAAATTTTTACACCACACAAAAAGAAGCGAAGATAATGAGACGACTCCCTTGTCATTGGAAATGAGAGAGAAACTAAACTACCTTACATTGACAGTTGACTGGCGTATCGTAATTGGAATGACTGGAATGGCCAGATCGAAATTCTGCTAAAAATGTATGTGAACGGAACGAAATTTAAAGAAAACTCGAAACTTAAGTGTATTTGATGAATTTTTTACGTTGTGATTTTGAGGTGCTTTCATACTGGAATAAGTTGGGCAGCTCAGGCAGGAAGATGCACTATTATTAGGAGAAGAGTATGGGTTTAATTAAGAATTCTAACCTATTGACTGCTATAAAGTCAGCCGTAAGTTCGAAAATAGTTATATTAGGTGTTTGGGGGCTAAGTGAAGTTTAAACCGATTTTAGCCATTTTTTTCACAAGAGCGCGTTGTTATAACTATTATACTATCCCCGAATTTCTCCACCATAATTCACCGACATATTCGGCAAAATTTAGCCATATGCACTGGTGTCCACATATTTGCTCCCTGAATCTTTGAATAGTTACGGTTCGATTTCGACAATTTTTGTGAGTTAGATTAAATACATAATGCAAAATTGTATTCTAATAACTGTATTTCTATTTGATTTGTTTACTGTAAAATTAAAATATTTTAAAAATTTGTTATCAGGATCCTCCTGATTAAAAAATATATGTGGTTATAGGTACCCCAAACAGTAGTTTACGAGAGTTCAAAAATTCGCAAAATTCGAACGTTTAAATAAGCTATTTCACCAAATGAAACACACTTTATTCACATTTTTCACTTCAAATTAATTAAATTACACTATAAACTTAAAAAAAAAATCTTTATGTGTGGAATACAATACCCGCGACAGACTGCAAACGACATCTGTCAAATATTAAAACACACGTTCTTATGGACGGACCTATTTTGACATTTTGACAGCTGCATGACTACACGACTGCAGGCCGACAGTTGTCATTCTCGCTAACTTCAATTTGATCCTATATTTGCCAACGGCAGTGGGACGACAGTAGAGTTGACAGTAGAATGGAAGATTGGAGAGATGAGGAAGAGTGGTGATGCCACTAATATGTAAAATGTAAAATTACTCAAAGCTCTAACAAACCTGACGTTATTTTACAAATAAAAGCATAAAATAGCTCTGTTACATCATTTATAACAGCAATTGATAATTTAAAACAAATAAATTGAAATATTTACTTATTTTTTCACTTTGAACAAAATATTAAAATTTCATTGAAGTTCAAGGTATTAGTATAGCCACAACGAAATTGTGTACATGCAAAATGGACAACTGCGTTGTTTTGTGTACATGCCGGCCATTGTTATGTTGCTGCCCTCTCACAAACGTTCATGTAGTAGGATTCACAACGTGCTGCTGCAGTCTATCGGGAGCATTGTGTTCCTCACATTAGCCAAAAATATTTTTACGTTCTCCTTCTCTATGATGAACGTTCTCAGCTATTATTTTACGTTCTCTGACTCGACTATTTTTGGTGATACAAACCACTGATAGGTAACAAAACTATTGTACTCTGTAGCAACATGTCGCAAGAGTTTAACAAACACTATTTGCCACGTAAAGAAAAAAATGTATGTTGTTTTCCACTTAGTTGTGAGCGATATTTCTTTAAAATACATACTTACATGCAGCAATGGACATATAAATAGCACACATATTAACCGTTAATCGACCTTTGTATCAAAAATGATACATTTCGATGTTTGTAGTACCGTAACTTGTGGAAAGAAAAACATTAGATACCGCCTTCTTTGTGACTTTGTTTATTTTCGCATTGTCGTTAATTTAAGCCATAATTTGAAAACATTTTGCAAGTAGGTCATGAGAAATTCAAAAACTTCATAATTCGAGCTATGTATAAATTTTGATACATATAGCATTTCAAACGTTTTTTGCTGCGGTGCAAGTCATTTGCGACGCTATTTTTGATATTTGTGTTGTGTTTTATTAGGTGAAGTGCTTCTTTTTTGAATATTAAGTTATTTTGTTAAWTACTTGTACGCGTTSGAAAAAATGRCTCGTCCACGGTTCTTGACGTTTGAAGAAATGGTGAATGAGGTACTGGATGAGAGTGAAGAAGATGAAGATGCTTCCGATCCTGATACTGAAATTGAAAGTAGTTCGTCTGAAAGCTGTTTATCTGAACCGGATGACATTATTGTCAGTAGTTCAGTTGATGATCCATTGTATATTGCAAAAGATGGTACTACTTGGCGTAGCGAGCCTTACGCCACTGGTCGGTTGGAGAGAGAAAATGTTATCAATTTGCGCCCAGGTTGGTAACAATTGTTGTAACAAATTGTTGTAGAATTATGATACTTGGTTTTTAGGTGTAACAAGATTTGCATCAAGCCGGGTAAATAACATTCGGGATTCATTTCTGCTACTTTTTCCATCTTCACTACCAAAAATTATAATTGAAAATTCGAACAACTACGGAAAGTATTTACATGGATCCAACCAGCTAGAAATTGACGAGGAATTATTTCATGCCTACTTAGGCATATTATTACTGGCCGGTGTGTATAAGTAAGTATTGCAATAGAAGAAACTTTGCATGATTTGTTTGAGGAATACTGTGGACGCCCTATATTTCTGTCAATAATGTCTGAGAGAACATTTTTATATATCCACAAAATCATTCGTTTTGATGATGTGCTCACCCGACGTGGCCAAAGAAATGATGACAAATTCGCACCAATCAGAAACCATTAGGAAAAGTAGTCTGAACAGCTTCCTATATTCTACTTCCTAATGATTGCGTTACTGTGGATGAACAATTATTGGGATTTCATGGTCGTTGTAAATTTCGCCAGTATATTCCATCGAAACCCGAGAGATAAGGTTTGAAATTTTGGCTACTTGTTGATTCACGCACGTGCTATGTATGGAAAATGCAATCATACTTGGGGAAAGGCATGGACAACTTTTTTTCATCTCACAGCCTTGGCCAAAAATTATTACAAATGCAAATGACAATGGTTGGAACTATGCGCAAAAGTAAAAGGTCTATTCCGCCACTGAATTGCAAGACAGTTCCACGATCATTGTATAACCCTACAAGTAAAAAGAATCAGCTGTTTTCCAAGAATTTTTCACAGCTGAGATCACCTGATCGAAATCTGCCTTTTTTAGGCACAGAGATGTAATTAAAAGAAATGTAGTAGATCAACTTTTTTGTGAAAAAGTATTTGTAACGGAAAACATTAATGAAAACTTTCAAGAATATTNGTAATTAAAAGAAATGTAGTAGATCAACTTTTTTGTGAAAAAGTATTTGTAACGGAAAACATTAATGAAAACTTTCAAGAATATTTTTGAAATAAAAGTTTATTGGATATTTATTGCTCTTCCTCACCACCTCTGAGGTTGCAATGTAGGCGCGCTACCGATCTTTTTTGGGTGTTCGGTTCCCCAGGAGGCTTAGCTTCACCCTTTTTATATATAGTTTTAAATCAATTTACTTATTATAAAAAATATGACTAGACAAAAATAAATATATAAAGTCAGGTACAATTCATTAATATTAATTACATTGACAATATATGTCAAAACAATCAACTTTAAACAAAAACCAAAATAAATATAAAAAATCTGGTACAATTCCATTGTTGTATACATTAACAATACAAGTCAAAACAATCAACTTGTAATTATTTAAACAMAAACTAAAATAAATATAAAAAACTCGTTTACAATTCCATTGTAAACATTAACAATACAAGCATAACAATCGGCTTGTGTTAATTTTAACAAAAACAAAAATTAATATAAAAAATCAGGTACAATTCAGGAACAACAACAATAATGTTCAAAACAATCTACTAAGTAATAAATAACATTTACAAAATATTCTAAATCACCCACAGCGAAATACTTATTAAAAACCCTATCAAAGGAATGGTGGTGGAAAGAAGGGTCCTATATCTGGTACACGAAAACACTTAAAAAACAAAAAAAAAATATTGATAATAAGCGTACAAAACCCCTTTTCAAAATCACAGATCAAAGTAACTATGGAAATGAGGCCTACGACAGATAAACTCTTTGACAAATATAAAATAATTCAGACTGACAGACATATATACATATAAATTCCGACTCATATAGACAGACAAACGGACGTGATTACTATTTATGTGTAACACACAAGAACTTTACGTTTTTGAAATCACTTTGTTTTACTTTTTTATTAAAAGCGTTTACTAGGAAATATGTTCTAATTCTAATGGATAGACATTTTATAATATAAGAATTACAATTTTCACAACAATAGTACGGTTCTACGTTAACCATTTTTTCAAATAATATTTGGGAAAACCCAAATCCACATTTACCTCGATTTGTATATTTTGAAATGAGGTAGAATTGGTAGGTCTTGGTAAACTTTGAAAAGTTTGCTAAGAGGTATTTTGAACCAAAGCGTCGTTGAGGCGCTTTTGAGGGAGCTATTAGAAAATGACTCACACTGGTCAACTGGTTCGCAGTTCCCTTTATCTACATAACAAATATATCCTATGCCCCAGGCTCGTCTGAAAAGATATGAGAAACGCTGCGTAGTTATTCTCACATCAAATCAACTCACATCAAAATTTACAAAATTTTACCCTTGGTCGCTAACTATTTAGCAGGGACGCAATCCAATACCCTGTAGTTGACCTATGGCTTCGAATATATATTTTTTCATAATATCTCCTTTGCAAGCTTTGTGCACAAAAAAATATGCTAAAGGGTGGGTCCAAATTTCTCCACCAATACCTTGCACGAAAAATGTTAAAACACTAGAAGTTACTCGAGAGGTACGATTTTCATCACCGTAATCCTCCAACCCAATAATCTAGTCCCTATTTCTCTCATACTGAAGGTGAATTTTCAGAGACATTTCGTCACAGCATATCGAAACATATCTCTGTGCGTAAGTGAAAACACGGCTTCTCAACTCCAGGGCTTTAATGCTGCTAAAATTGCAGCCAGGGTGACGTGGCCAACCCTGAACAAATTGTTCGAGGGTCACTTGCGATGGCCAATTAAAAATGGGCTTTAAATACCTGAACGCAATAGGTGATAAAAATTTTACAGCCAGAGCTAATGTTTTTAATTCCCTATCATATCTATAACCCTTCGAAGTACGGGGTGCAGTTTTTAAACAATTTCTCACACATATTGCAAGATGTGAAGGAAGTTTGCCGCATAGCTCTGAAATTTGTCTATTTTCGTCCTGCCCTACTATAGACAAATTTTAATTATTTTCTAAAATTTCTATTTTATTCTCTAAAGCTCTCACCTTATTGCGTAAARATTCTATTTCCTGTGATTTTTTGTCTAATCTAAAGAGGAAGAATATCAATGTCTTAACTTCAAACATATTATTGTTTGAAGTCGAGACAGTTCTAATTGGAAAAGAGCTAAGATGCATCGGGTTAAAATCTGCACTACCTAATTCTATAATGTCTTGTTCGTGTTGGTCAAATACACTACCTACTTGTCCACTACAACCTATTGCCTTATCTACTCTAACTGCAGGTCATAATACTTTTAAATTTAAATCCGGTGTAGCTGATCTGGAGATAAGCCGTCCTTTCCTCATCTTTAATGAGAAATATCTTTGGCACGCAAAT